TTATATTGTCTTAAACTTACGGAGAGCAATAACTAAATCCATTTAGTGGGCATTCTTTTTTTTCTACTGCTAGTGTGACAAAGAAAAATTCAGATAGTGAAACTGAGTTAAGAAAAGATATAATGTTCAGTTGACATGAAGATTTCCATATATGTTAAATCACATAATTCTCTATCACCCAAGTTGGTGTTGTCTAAATCTACCTCCAGAAACTGAAGAGTATAATATTAATAGGGTGTAAAAATGTATTTCCCTGATGTCTGTTCATCATAAAATTCAGCATTCTAGATTATCTTTGCCATTCATTGTAACTTGATAAATACCATGAATAAAAAATGAAAATGATAGTATATGAGCTCCATCAGTTGTTGACCTGTGATAATGCTTAGCTTAACAAGTACTAGGTAATTTACACATTGTTGTAACAAAATGCCAGACAAAAGAAACCAAGGATGGAAAGCTTTATTTTGAGGGTTCTTTGGGCAGCTGATGACAGTATATCCCCACCCTTGGCAATATCTCAAGTGGCAGAGAGATGAATTCTGAATCTTTCCTAACTTTCTCCTTTTGATGCAGTCCAAGACCAGCCCAGGAATCAGTGCCCCTGATATTTAGGGTGGACCTTCCCACTTCAAATAACCTAATCTTTACTCACATATATGTCTGGAGACTTGGGCCTTCAATGATTCTAAGAAATGTCACATTGAGAATCATTAATACCCTCCAGGAAGGTCATGTATTATAAATGTATATTTACACACATATACACAAATATGAATCAAAATTTTTGCACTGTAATTATTATGTATAGTACCATATGTATGTCTAGTGTACAAAATTCCATCAATGACCAATGCTTTTTGTTTTATCAGAAAATCATAAATATTCATACTAAGTTGAATAAAATGGTCCAATGTACAGCATATTGTTTTGAGAAAGGCTTTGCCTCCAAAATTACATTTGTACTAGAACTGTCAAGGATAATTTTTAATTATAGGAAAGGAATTATAGGCCTATACATAATCTTTTCTTAAAGTGTTTGAAACATTGAAAAACTGACATTGAGAAATTTCATGAGAGAAAAAGTGAACAGATCCAGTCTAGGGGCCATAAAGTTCATCTAGTAATAATAGAACAATAACCTCAGCAGTTAGGTTGTGAACCAAGGCACCCACTTCTTTGATCCAAAATACCATTTAAAAGATTTCATGGCCTATAACCCTCACCTGAAACTGGATGCTGGTGACACATTTATAAAACTTTCTTAAACTGTGGAAGTCATTGTAAGTTAAGTTTGTTTTTCAACCTTTCTTTCTTTACACCTTTAGCCTTAAGTAATCTCAAGGTCCTAGGAACACGTGACTGCCTGTCAGATCACTGACCAGCATACATTTTATACAGTGAATATTTCTACCCTAGCTTCTATGAGTAAATAAATACCAGACTTTAGTCAACCAGATAGTTTTTATTGAGCCAGAACCTTCTCCTGATTCTTGAGAAATCTTAACTTTTACAAACTTAACTTTTATAAAAGGCAAAAGATATATAAATATTTAGGCTGTCTTCATAGAGCAATCGCAAATAAAATGTCTTTTGGGCTTTGCCCTCATTACCATATGCTGATAAGCAATCAGATGGGAAAGGACAGCATGTTGCTATAAAATTATACACTGAATATGAATCAAGCAACTCTAGAAGAAATAAAAGAAATCTGAAAGGTGATTTGTATGTCAAACTCTTCAATATTCAAAGGAGGAAATTTGAAGTCCATGACTATAAATGAAGCACCAGTGTTGCCCAGTCAGGCAAGATGGTAGTTGGATCTGTCCTGATTTCCAATTTAGCCCTTTTTTATCAGCTGCTAAGTTGTACAACTGCCAACTACACACCTACTACGTCCTCTAAAATGACTATGCTTTTTCTCACTCACTTATAAACCATTGCAAGGAAGTAGATTCCATACTGCTTACCATTTAGGCAAAGCGTGAAAACTCTATGCCATGGTGTCTTGGGTAAGCACAAGGCTATACATCAAAACAGAATGCTCTGCAATCTTTGTGGAAAATTACTATAATGTGAAAATGAAAAGTAAAGATACTACTGAGAGATCATAGCAGTTATACCTTACATAGCAAACAAGACTTGGCAAAATAATGATTTTAGTGACTCTGGCATATTAGATTTTCTTAAGGGCAGGTATAGTTGGCTTTGATGATTGTTGCTATGAGATAGTATTGTGGGTTTTTCGAATGGAAGGACAAATGTAGGAAGCATACAAGGCAAGTTTGTTTCTCATAGCAGCAAAGGACTTGTGCAAGACTTCTCAGGACAAAGGAGACAGGGAAGGGGAAGAATGGGAAGAAAAATGACTAGTGAACAGGGAAGTCTAGGTTCAGCTGGCATTGCAGAAGCCTTGATTACTGATATGTTTTGGCAGTCGAGGAAAGAAGCATTTGTTTTGCGTTCCATCCCCAATGATGGTGGGATTCTGACACTTTGTTTCATAACCATTATGCCAAACTTTGAGAGTAATAAGGGAAATGGACATTGCAAAATGTTAGCAAAGATTCCTATATTGGGAACTGAGCTTCTAGCCATAATTACAGACTGTGTCACAGTAATACTTACAAGATAGACTTTTACATCAAATCAAGAGTCTTAAGTATTAATAGTGGAAATATGAGGCTTTGGCTTCGACTAGTACTGGTTTCAATGTTAAGCGATATGTATTTCTCTTTTGAAAAAATACTGTAGCAAAGGAAATGGATTCCTGGAGCTAAGAGCCAGAAGAAATACTGCTACAACTCAATGAATTGGAGCTGCACAAGGAGCTGGGCTCCTCTAGAGACACCCACAGAGCTTTAATCATGAAAGGAGGGCGAGAGAATTGGGTACGGAAAATAATGAATATCCACGAAATAAGTGGACCATATAATTTATCTTGTAAACTGTGACTTTTGGGAGAAAGAAGTCCTATTAATAATTCTGTCATGACATTTGAGTACACAGATATTGTGCAGGGAAAACACATATAGTTATGCTACTGTGGTGCCAATTTTAAGGAGTTTGTAGAGTCTGCAAGAAAATTCTAGGTAAATCAAACAATATCTTTGCAGTTAATAGATGGTGTATTCATAGTGATTGGGGAACACATTGCTGTCATGGGCATGCTTCGTAAATGAACCAACTAGAAGGGGAAGATTCCAAATTTACACGATTGTGAATATTATTCCATGGAATTTGGAAAGGTGATGGAGAATAATAAAGAAGTTTCAAAGTACTTGCGGAATATGATAAAAATATTTGTATTATAAAGGAAACTTTGATTTCATTATTCTAATGGGTAGGGAAAATGGCTTGAGGAACATGAGGTTCATATAGTTGTAAACTTTTCTTAATCTTCAGAACTGCTTCTGTATATAAAAACAAATTATCCCTTTTGCAGATATAAAAGTAGAATTTAATTCATCTACATATTTGCAATGTTATTCTTATCCATTGTTTTATTTTTGATAGTAGACATTAAATTAAATCTGGATCAAACTCTCAGAAAGAAAGCCTACAAGTCTCATGTATTTGAACATTTACACCCCTATCTTACATAAATGTTCTTTTGAACATTGTGCTTGATACCATTCATGTCTATGCAAACTCAGCCTTCCATTGGCAGTGTTCTCTTTCATTTAAGTCCTACCATATTCAGCCTTTTATACCTCTGCTATTTCCTGAAAAACTACAAGTACCACATGGTTATCGACCTTTGTGTGCAGAACATATTTTATAATTACCTTTCGACCTCTCTTCTAGTTTTGTACTTGGTTTATTTTTGCTGCATTTTTACTATGTTTTGCGATTTGTTTTTGTTTGCTTATTTTTTTTGGTGCTTTGTTAAACGTCTCTCTAACCAAGGTTTTAGCTTCATTTGTCATATTTAAATACCTAAAATTTTACAGAGAATGTAAGAGAACAAATGAATGAACGAATGAATGAATGAATGAAATACATGATTTTAGATAAGTTTAAGATGTCATACTTTAAACTTGTAACTGGAAAGCCCATCAGATTGCTTGTGGGGTCATCAGCAACAGAAGTATTCCTGCTTATGTTTATTTATAGTTTGTTTTCATTTATTGATTGATTTATATTTATTTTCTGAAATAAATAGAAGCAAAAGTAAGTGAAAGCCTTTTGAAATTGAAAACATCTGGAAATCATCAAAATTTTCTTGTTCATCAGTTTTATGTATAATAGTCAAACACTTTCTAAAGTTATTTGAACTTGAATATAGTTCTACCACAGTAAAAGTTTGATTTGGTGTCTAATAGTTTTATCAAAATGACCCAGGTGAGTTTATCCTAAGGTTATTCTAATTTTTAAGAGTTTATCAGTGTTTATAAATCTACTATTAGCTTTCTTTTGTTCAGTAAAGGGCAAGCCAGCAACTTCTCTTGATCTCATTTGTCACAGAATAGCTAAAATGTCAAAATAAATTAGAAACAATTATAGTGTAACCCTTTGGGGAAAGAACATCACCTATCTGCAAGATAATAACACAGGCAATTGATTTCTTACAGAAATTTGTGATAATACTGGTTTTTGTTCTACTAACATCCAGAAATGTAATGACTCATAATGAGTTTGTACTCAATAATTTGTATAGAACCCTCAGAAAAATTTGTGTTTTCTATGATGGAACATCAGCATTGAAAGTTACAATCACGATTTAAATCCAATTAATGGAAAATGTAATCCAAGTGTTATGCAGTGAATGGGATACTATTCTAATTATTCAAACCTATAAGAATACTCATAGCAGATAACATATAGTCTATGTGTGAACTGAAATTATAAAAACATAAACTCAGCAAAATATAAGTATTTTAAAGTAGAGTCATTTATTTTACTCTATTTTTATGATACATTTTTAATAAATTTAGTCAATGTTTGACATTTGGAATACATATTATGATACTTACGTTTGTCAATTTTGTTTCCTACAGATAGATTGCTAGCATACTGACTAGAAGATACAATCTTCTTTCCTGCTGATTGCATGGGAGAAATTTTTGACCTTAGAACGTGGAGATGAGGTTGCTATGGAAACTGGTAATTCTGCTGCCACTCATAAACTCTTCTGCAGGTAAAGTGTTCTATTATTATGAGTTTAGATTGATAAATATATTAGTACTGTATATCTTCCTTGAGAGGAAACAACTTTGAAAGTGCACAAGCCATATGTTATTTGAATGACCATGTGGTAAATTTGTGAGAGTACCATTTACTTCAAATAGAAAGTTTGATTCTTAGAAATATGTAATAAAAACTCTTTTGGCATGTTGTTATTAAATTTGTGAATTTTCAAATATGACATTTGTTAAAGTATGATTAAGTGATTTATCATTTTAAATGTATTTATAATTTCATTCACAGTGAAGTCTTTATGTACCTAAAATGAAAATTTATATTTCCTCTCAAATTTAGAATTTATTAGAGAAATGGTAGTGAAGATAAAGGTGATGTAAAATGCTCCTACAAAACTCAAAAAAATTGTAATTCTTTTTCTTCTTCAATAATCAAAGGTGTCAGCTATGTCCTTCCACTACTGGTAAGGGTAGTCATATCTATTTATTAACGAATTTCGCTTGTAACAAACTACCATAAATCAAAGGTTTAAAACCACCTAAAATATCAAAAAGCCATACGTTGGTAGGAAGTTCTGTGAGATGTGGTTTAAGATATGCACTGTATCTATGGTGAACTAGACTCATGTGAGACATAATTATTCCAGGACAAGCTTAGCTTACATTCTCATGCTGTATTGCCTTTGGTCAGCATGGTCTTCCATGTGTGTTTGGGAATCACAGTTTCTCACATGGTGGCAGCTCCTCTGGATTTCAAGATAAAAATCTCATGAATACTGTCTCAGGATACCAGGGCTTGGAATACAGATAGTCAGTTTTGTGCCATTCTGCCCATGCCTACAATTTACCAATCCACCTAGACTTAAGGCTAATTATCTTTAACTCTTGATAAAGAGCCTTAAGGTTGCATTTAAAGGGACCTGCAGTAAGAAAGGCTATAATAATGGCTGATAAATAGCTACCAACAATATGTACAGTGCAATTCATCATTTTGTTGTTATTAAAAGCTCATTTATTTTCATTTTATATTTGTGAGTGTATAGCCTTCCTGGTGCTTGAGTAAGCTAAAAGAAGATGCCATACACTCTGGAACTGTAGTACAGAGGTGAGCTGCCACATAAACTTGGGGGACTGATCTCAGATTCTCTACAAGAGTAGTAAGCACTTTTAACTGCTGAGCCATCTCTCAAGTCCACCCCTGCAGGAGTTCTATTCTTAATTGCTAAGTTTAGCTACCTACATTGTACCATTGCTTCAGTACTGACTAGGTTACCTGGCTGTCTTAGAAGCCCTTTGACCATCTTCAAAATGATTCTGATTTCCTTTTCTTGTGTAATGAAAACTACTATCTATGTCTTAGAAGTTTTTAACAATTCAATAATAACGTGTGGAAAGTGCAAGAATAAATCTAACGATCTATCATTCAAAATACACCATGATTACAAAAATATCTATTTAGTAGCAATCTCAAGGTAAAAAAGCCCTGCGCATGATAAAATATGTGCAAATGAATCTAAAGAATAAGGAACATTACAAAGGTATTCAGGTCATTAACAAATTCAACATATCAGAACACCACCATCATGTTTATTCAAAGTGATCACATTGTTTTGATTTATGTCACATCTACTCTGAAAGAAAGATTGAAGTTGAACAATAGTGAGTTCGTTCATGTAATAGATTAAAAGAAGACAGAAAAGTCATTAAGGTGCCCCCAAATTACCCATGTTTAAAGAACGCTATGCCTACTTTAAGTTTCAGCTTCCTGTCAAAATTCTACATTAACATTTTGCCCTTTAAATGTGTCTATTGAATTAGCATAGGCTCTTTAAAAGACCTTTTGTCCTAAATTAAAATAAAACCATTGTTCCCAGAACACATATCAAATATGAGAAATACTTTGTCTCTTCTATTAACTTCTATTTATACAATTTGGATATGATTCAACATGTCCTTTTCCCTTATCCTAAGGGAGAAATACTCATATGTCCTTGGTGCACAGTTTCATCAGTAAAAAACAGATTGAATCTGTTCCTTTTAAGCCATAGACATTTAAATATGGTAATCTCAGCTAAACATTGCCCCAGAGGTAAAGATGATGATATTGTTTTACACAAGAGAGCATTGATTTAAATCTGTTTGTTTTGTTTGAGATTTCATGATGTTCACTCCATGTGGGAACTACATTAGATTAGAGAGCTGGCTGACAATGGAGCTCTGTTTCTTTAATATATATACTCTCTTTCATTCTTCCTTCTTGTTGTACTCATTCTTAAAATCAGGCAAGTATTTCACAATTGCTATGTTGTCCTTTCTGCTTTCATCTTATAACCCATTAAAATGTGTATATTTTAATTGCCTTATGTTGCAATTTAAAACATCAATTGTTTTGTATTTTTGTTTTTTGGTTGTTTTTTTTTTACTGTAATTCACAACCTTTTTTCACAGCTTGACTAAGGACACTGGATCCTAGGTCTTTGTAATGATTCCTAACATGTTCAGCCAGACATCATGGGCCCTAAGATATTTCTCAGAGTATGATCACTTAAAAATATATTGGTTTTGAGTTAGTGTTTTTTTAATATCATAAAAACAGAGAGGCCCACTTAATTAAGAATACAATTGTTGAATAAAAACATTTAAGTTACTTAATTTATAGTTGTGGGATGGTTAAAAACATCCCCCAAATGTCTTTGCTCATTATTTGGAAATAGTGATTATTACATAAAGATGACAAAAAGTGTTTTGCTGATGTGTTAAGTTGAGGATCTTGAGAGTCACTCTAGAGGAGTCGCCCTAGAGAAGGTAGCCTCAATTAAAATGTTGCCTCCATAACAAAGGCCTGTAGGTAGGTATCTAGGGCAACTTGCAATTAGTGATGGATGTGGGAGGGGCAACGTACTTCATGTGGATGCTGCCATTCCTAGGTTGGTGGTCCTGGATCTATACTAATGCCAATGCAGGATGAGCAAAACAGTAACGGCAATCCTTCATGGGCCTCTGCATCTACTTCTGCCTCCAGATTCCTACCCTATTTGAATTTCTATCCTGAATGCTTTTATGATGAACTGTGATATGGAAGAAAAAGAAAAGTCAAGCATTTCCACTTCAAATTTCTTTTGGTCATGGTGTTTCATATCAGCAACAGAAACTCTAATACTAAGACACACTTTAAGTACTTCTGCATTATATTTTGAATATCAACTTTTTTACTTTAACAGTATTATGTTGTTTGCATTGTCACCTTTAAAATCATCACTTGGCTCATAATAAAGAATTGTTCACTTGTATGGCATTTGTATTGGTTTGTTTTGGTGTGTGTTGAGTGCTTTTGTGTGAATCCTGTAAGTATAATCTGAGGACAAGTAAGATTGCTCAGTTGGCAAAGCTACTTTCCTTTGAAGTGTAAAGATGTGTTTTTGATTTACTGAACCACTTTTAAAAGCTGTTTATGATGCTTTGTAATCCCAATGCAGAGGAAGTGGAGAGAGCCACATCCAACCCTTGAAAATGTTGGACAGTGGCTGAAGAACCACCATTGAGAATTGAGGGTTGACCTCTATCCTCCATGCATGGACATATACATACATTCTTCCCTCCCTCCCTCCCTCCCTCCCTCCCTCCCTCCCTCCCTCCCTCCCTTCCTCCCTCCCTCTTCCTATCTCTCTCCTGAGCACTTATTTGATCAAGAAATATTTTGATTCTGAGACTTTGCTTTACAGCAAAAGACTGAGTAATTCAAGCACACGGTAATGGAGACAGTCGACTTAGTGGCTGAATAGAATTAAAGACCTGCTCTACCATTACAAGGCTTGTATTATGATCTCAAGGCTAATTGTGATGCTGTACCCAGATGCATCAATTCCTTTTGAGAAACTTAAACTTAAAATTGAAATATTTCTTGAAGTTTCAGTCTTAAAATGGCAAGATTTCTTTCCTCCTATTGTTTATATAAAAATATATTTATTTTCAAAGTTTCTGCTAAAGCAGTTGATTTTTAATTAAGTTATTTTGTGACTGGTACCAATAAATAGGATATCTAATGTCATCACCATTTTTAAGTAGCTTACTTTCTTATAAATGTGTTAGCCTAAAAGAATTCCATAGAAAATATAAGTCCTAAATACTCAACAGTTAGCAAAGTCTGTCAAAGTTCACTGGGAAGTATTTATGATATCTTGGACTTTACTCTGTTTCAAATGAGCTTTTTATTGAACTGAGATCCAGAGTAAATGAAATGTAAAGCCACAAGCATGGAAGTGTTCACTGTGATCAAGAATTCTTCACAGAAGACTATTGTATCATGCAACAAATCCATGGAAATTGGCAGGTGTAATAAACCCATTTTACTCAAGGATCCCAGAAGCACATAATGGATATTCCTTTGAGTTCAATGTGATGATTATTGAGTATATCACAACCCATTCTCTTCCTATGGTCTGCTCAGATTTATTGTTAGCATAATAGCACCTTTAGGAACAAAGCATTAGGCAATACTTCTAAGGCAAGTGACATCTTTGCAATTTCTGATAGAGACAGCACTAAGCAGAATGCTGAAAATACTATTTTTATGCACTGGCCACTGACAAAGGTGGTTGTTAGATTATCAAACCTTCTTCCTAAGTAATTGATTCATAAACCCTGAATGAAATTGTTTCTTGAGACTAGAGGTGATGTAGGAAAGGCATTTCTGTCTTGTTAGCATTGGAAGAGAATGGCTGGCATGTAGGCTGACATGCCGTAGATACTGTGGTCTTCTAGCAGAAGGAAATGTAACAGACAGCTGTTTTAGCATGATCTGTTTGAAAGAGAATGTTCCAAGTAATATCCCCTCTTCTCTGTGTTTTTTTCCTTCTTCCAACCTCCCCTCGTCTTCTCCCCCCTCATCCTCTGCCCTTCCTCCTAGTCTCCCTCCCTCCTCCTCCTTTTCTTTTTCTTCTATTCCTATTCCCCTCTTTTTCTCTCTTCCTACCTCTTTTAAACAAGATATAGTGTATCC